TCATCAACATCATCATCATCATCGGGACACCAACATCGTCACCATCATCATTATCATCATCATCATCCGCAACATCGTCATGATCATCGGACACCATCATCAACCTCATCGGAACACCACCATCATCATCGCCTTCGTCATCATCATTTCATTATCATCATCGTGATCAGCATCATCAACATCATCATCATCATCGGGACACCATCATCATCACCAGCAACATCACCATCATCATCAACATCATAAACATCGGGACGCCTTCATCATTATCGTCACCATCAGCATCACCATCAGCATAATCATCATCATCATGGAGACACCATCATCATCAACATCATCATCATCAGCATCAGTGGGCCATTATCATCAAAATCACCATCAGCACCTCAGCATCATCCTCATCATCAACATTATCATCATTGGGACACACTCACCGGCATCATCATCACCATCATCATCATCATCGGGACACCATCATCATCACCAGTCTCATCATCAACCGCATCAGCATCAACCTCCTCATCATCATCATCGGGACACCATCATCATCATCATCATCATCTTCATCGTCATCATCTCATCATCATCATCATCAACATCATCATATCATCAACCTCATCACCATCGGGACACCATCATCACCAGCAACATCAGCATCATCAACATCATCATCATCATCATCATCATCATCATCATCATCATCATCGGGACACCATCGTCATCACCACCATGGCCACCATCATCATCATCATCATCGTCATCATCATCAACATCGTCATCATCATCATCATCATCATCATCATCATCATCATCATCATCATCGTCACACCGACGGGACACCAGCGGGACACTGGCGGGACACCGCGCGCCACCAGCCCCCGGACAGGAAACATTTGGTCCGGCCGCGCCTCAGCCAGAGGCGGGACATTTGTCGCCCGCCCACGCAGCTTCGCCTCACCCGCACGCACGGCACGCACGAATACGAAACCGAAACCGATTTCCCGGTAGGGGGGATCCCCGTTCCACTTCGATCTCACCCCCTCACCTCCGATAGCCCTATAGCCCAATAGCCCTGTAGCCCTATAGCCCTATAGGCCATATTGCCATATAGCCCAATAGCCTATGTAGCGTCCAAGAGCCCATATAGCCCTGTAGCCCTATAGCCCTACAGCCCTAAAAAGATGATGATTGTGGTTTTTCTCCGGTATCATTCGGGTATCCTCTGGGGGATTTTTAGTTTTTCGTCCAAAATCGGCCTGTAGGGGGACAGGCCCGATTTAAGATTATTCACGGCGTTTGTGTCACAGGAGTGGCGCTCTGGCACGGTGGAAGATTTTGAAACGGTTGTTTGCCAGCGAGGCTTCCCCCCGCAGTGAAAATCGATCCATGCAGGAGCCTTTTGCAGAGGGAACTTGGTGGGAGGGTTTATTTCGGGGCCTCCTACCCTGACACGTCGAGTAAGGAATTGGCTGTTTTCGGTTCGCGAGAGGGCGTCGCGGCCGTTATTTTTGCGGGTCCAGGTCCGTCGGTTTCGGTCCCAGGCCGTTTTCACTAAGGGGAGGTTTACTAAACGGAGGCTTGTCCACCGCCGATTATTGCAACTTCGTTGATCAGTATTGGATTTGCTCTGGGTGCATGTTTCATTAAGTAAGCAGTGGTTGCATACACTGTGGCGGCCAGGCAAGGTGCAGGTTCTCATCGTCCAGTGGTCGGTGCAGGTGGCCAGCAGCCTCGATGCTGGGACCTTCTTTGGTCCTTTCATCTTCAGTGCAGGAACCTCCCACTGCCGCAAGGGTAGCGTACTTCTTTTGTCTGTTCCACGCCCAGCTGAGGCTAGGCATAGTCTGCTACAGTGCCAGCAGCTCCCATCGCCGCTTGGTGAGGGCATTGCAATTTGTATTGGGCTGTGTTTCGCACTTGGTATTCATTCGCGTTTGGTCCCTTGTGGCACTGGGCGCATCAGGAGGCGGGCAGTCATGCCCTGTGTGTTTGGCGAAATGGTTTGCGTGATTTGCAGTACCGTGCAAAGTGCCACGTATTTTTACGTTTGGTGGGATCAGTGCACGATGGTGGTCTGGGAGGTGTTTTTGCCTTTGTGCCTATGTGGCGCCTTTTTTGCCACGGCAGACGCACCGACTTGTTGCGACTCCCACGGGGGTGTTGTTTCACCTTTCATCATGTCAGTTGTTCGCGTCTAATTCAATTCATGCTACGTTGTTGTGGGCATCTTCCCATGCAGAAAAGTCCCAGGGACATGATATTACGTGTTCAGCCAATATGGTGAAGGTATTTTCTGAAGAATGGTTATGATTAGCCGCGCCTCGTCGTTTATTTGCTGATGCGCATTGCAGTCATGTGGGCGCTGCGGTCTCCACAAATGGGGCTGGCAGTCTTGGGTTTGATGCTCCTCCAGTTCGGTCGCCTCAGGTTCCTTGTTCTCCAGCGGGCCTTACAGGTCAGGAGACGTTGCGTTTCGGATATGACATTGTCATGGCGTCCAGTCCTCTCCTTTTCCTCCTCCTCCTCCACCTCCTCCTCTTCCTCTTCCTCCACCTCCTCCTCCCCCTCCTCCCCCTCCTCCCCCTCATCCTCCTCCTCCCTCCTCCTCAGTCCTCCCACTCATCCCCCTTCCTCCTCCTCCTCCTCATCCCTCCTCCCTCCCCTCCTCATCCTCCTCCTCCTTCATCCTCCTCCTCCTCTCCTCCTCCTCCTCCTCCTCCTCCTCCTCTCTCTCTCTCTCTATATATATATATATATCTCCGTAAGGGGTTCGCCCCCCGCCGCCGGCCCCCTCTCTCGGATAATGGGAGATGCAAAAGCTAAATCATGAGGTCTGGGAGCCGCCGTGAAGCAGTGTCGGGACCTGTTTGTTTTTCGACCCTGACCCTACGGATCTGCGTGAGGGGTGCCGCCGGATTTTCAGACGTTGTGTGGCAAATCCATGTTTTTGGACCCTGACCCCGCCGGATCTGCGTGAGGGGTGGCACCGAATTTCAGACGTGTGGCAAATCCCATGTGTTTTTGGACCCTGACCCCGCCGATCTGCGTGAGCCGAATGTTGCGTGTGGCAAATCCCATGTGTTTTTGGACCCTGACCCCGCCGATGTGCAATGTCAGACGTGTGGCAAATCCCATGTGTTTTTGGACCCTGACCCCGCCGATCTGCGTGAGGGGTGCCGCCGAATGTCAGACGTGTGGCAAATCCCATGTGTTTTTGGACCCTGACCCCGCCGATCTGCGTGAGGGATTGTAATTTTTTACCCACCCCAGCAATTCAGACAACACGTCTTGGGCGTGGTAGAAATGCCCGTTTTGGGCCTCCGCCCCTCGCGCGGTCCATCAACAAGGAACAGTAAGCAGCAACATGTCAACAAGGAACAGTGAGCAGCAAGAAGCAGAACTGTGACAGTGGAAACTGGAAGCTGCAACTGGTACAGGAAACTGCGAGCCTTAGCCCTACAGCCTGGTGGCCCCACAAGGGGGCCAGCGGATATATGGATTTGTCCCTCTGCCTGTCTATCTATGTCTCTCTCTATCTACCTACAGTTCAAAGCAGAGGTGTGATGCCTGTACAATGCGGGATGGAAAGATCAGGGCGAGAGCAAGCGGGAAAAAGGGACAGCAAGGATCCTCCCCCTCCTCCTCCTCCTCCTCCTCCTCCTCCTCTTCCTCTTCTTCCTCCTCCTCCTCCTCCTCCTCTTCCTCTTACGCCTCCTCCTCCTCCTCCTCCTCTTCCTCCTCCTCCTCTTAACCCGCCTCTCATCCTCCCCTTTCCACTCCACCGGCCTCCGTTCGGCCCCTCCCCCCCTCCAGGCCCCAGCGGCGTGATTCGCCGTTCTCGGCCTCTGGAGTCAGGATGGGGGAAAAACACACACACAGACACAATTCATCGTCGATTCCCCAGAAGATATGGGAAAACATGGAAATTGGGGGGGAAGACAAAAAACCAGAAAATATAGGAAAATATGGAAATTGGGGGGGAAGACAAAAAACCAGAAAATATGGGAACATGTGGGGAACCTTTTTCATCCGTGTGTATTTATTAGTGTGCCCCAGGGCCCCTTCATGGAGGCCCGCTTCGGGCCTCGCTCTCCGTCAGGGCGCAGCCCGGCGTGAGAAGCCGTCCAGGGTGGGCCCTGCGAGGGGTCTGGGGGCCACTTCTGGGCAGGCTCGAGGGTGCGAGGATTCCTGGATCGAACCGCGCAGGACAATTGTATCGTGACCCTTCTCAGTCAGACCTCATTCGTGCTGGTCGGCCCGCGAGGGGAATCGAAGACAGGCGCACCTGCTTTGGCTCGTGAAGTTTCTGTCATGTAATTCTCCAGAGGATGTAGGTTGTTGTCGTTTTCTTCCAGCCTGAACTGGAGCAGATGGGGCTGGAGGTTTGAAGGATCGCGCCGCATCGCCGATGCCGCATCGCCGTTGATCCAGAGCTCGTGCTCCGCAATCCCGAATCGGCGAAGCTGTGCGACCTTCCGACCCCATCTGCTCTGGCCCCGTGCGCGCGGCCTTCAAGGATCACGCTTTTCGTATGCTATCCATGTGGGGCTTCTGCGAGGCCTCTGGTCTCCACGGCAGGATTCCCTACGAAACTTTTCTTTGTCAGAACGCATCCCTTGATAGAGAGGGGTCCTTGGGCGGCTACTGCACGGTCGCCATGGAGAAAATGTGTCCCGAGGACAGGGGTCCCAGGGTGTCCTTCGCCGTCGTCGGCCTCCCATTGCTCCATCCGCTTGCCCCCGGGCCGCGAGACCGCCCACAGCAGGGCTCGGGACCGAAGGCCCGCCTCAGGGGAGGCCCTGGGGTCCAGGGCCCGTGTCCGTGGCACGCGCAGGCATGCTCAGGATAACGACGGACCGTCCCAGCGTGCCCTCAGACGCTCCGGAACGGCCGCGGCATCCGATTCATCTTGCGGGCCCGCTGGGCCTCGTACGTTCCTGGTCTGCCTCGCTCCTATTCCGTCGTCATCGTGCCTCCGTCTCGCCCTCGCCTCGTGGCAAGGCGACGGGCTCTGGTCGCTCCTCTGCGACAGGCGCTACAGGAAGAAGCAGGGCGGGCGGTTCTTCGTTGTGGTGTCCCTGGGGGAGGCCGCTACCGTTCGCCGCATATTGCACGCGCGGAGGGGTAAGGCCGTCGTCAGCGGACAGAGCGTGGCCGTGTCTCTTCAGTGCGCGGACACCGGTCTTCAGCTGGCGTACGGAATGTCTCCCAAGCCTTCCATGGTGGGCTCTCAGGCGATCGATTCTTTTCCAAGCGGCCATCCCTACCAGAGGACGCTGGCGAGCCAGTGCTACAAGCTGATGGACTGCGCCACTCAGTATTCCTCGAGCGAGCTGTCGCTCCTCGTGCAGGCGATGCAGCTGAACACCCCGCTCGAGCGTTGCAAGTGGTTTGAGTACATGTCCATGTGCAAGCGGCGGAACAACAGCAAGTGGGGTGAGCGCCCGATTTCGCAGCTTTTCGAGTTCGACACGGAGTTCGACATACTGTACCAGCGCAGTCTCTCTCTGACATGGCGCAGGGAGCTGCTGCACCGGTTCGGATCGAAGTCGTCGATGTCAGAGAATTTCGCATTGCTGGACACCGATTGCAACAACAGCCTCGACATCAAGGAGGTCATCAAGGCCCTGCGGGACCTCAAGCTTCCCCACACCACGGAGGACGCCGTGGGCGGGAAACAGATCCGTGTCGACAGCCTCGTCTTCTGGTCTCTTCGGCCGCGACCCCCTCCCCTTCCCCTCCCCCTCCCCCTCCTCCTCCTCCTCCTCCTCCTCCTCCTCGTCCTCCTCCTCCTCCTCCTCCTCCTCCTCCTCTTCCCCCTCATATTCCCCCTCCTTCTCCTCCTCCTCCTCCTCCTCCTCCTCCTCACACGCACCCACAGCAATAATCCGAAACACCGAGGTGGAGCTACTGCTGCTACTGCAACTGTACACCGCTCAAGGTGCAACGGAAGGGGGGAGAGAGAGAAAGAGAGAGAGAGAGAGAGAGAAGGAGGAGAGAGAGAGAGAGAGAGAGAAAATAATAATAATAATAATAATAAGAAAAAGAAGAATAATAATAATGATGTTAATAATAGTAATAATAATAGTAAGCAGAATAATATGATAAATACGAATAAGAATAATACTATTAATAAGAAGAGTAAGAATAAGAAAACTAATAATAATACTAACAACAATAATCATAATAATAATAAGAATAATAATACAGAGCAGAGAGACAGTGCCTCCCCCAGCTCCTGCACCGTGCCGCCGTCACCACTCGGGTGAAAAAGGGCAGGAGGGGGGAGGAGGAGAGGCCCTTACTGCATCCACCAGCTGCAACCACCTATCCTCATATCCCACAAGATCTTCCCAAGGCCTCTCCTTAAAGGGCAACTGCAACTCGACCCATCCAGCGCCCTAAACTGGAGTGGGGAAAGGATGACACCGACGACTGAGAGTTCCCCAGATACTGAGAAATGCCCGCATCCCATAATGAACCTCTACTCTCAGTCACGGTCGGCGTCGGTGTCATCAGTCACGTCCTGACCAAAGGAGCGCAGCTCCGACTTATACTTGGAGACGCGGCCCCACAGGGCGTATGACTCGTGCAAAGCTGCCTTGCGCAGGCCACGCTGCGTGTCCACGATTCGCTTGGACCTCTTGATCCGCGCCTTCAGCGCAGCGGTCTCAGAGCGGCGCTTGGGGGCAGCCTTGGGTTTCACAGCAGCGCTGGATGCCTTCGACGGGGCCTTAAAAGAGGCCCCCCTCAGATGGGGCGGAGGGGGCCCCTTCGGAAGCGGGGGCTTGGCACCTGCGAGCCTGCGGCCATCTGGCCCCCTCCATTTGGAAACGGGCTGACGGGGTCTGGCCTTGGGCAGGGCCTGCGGAGGCGGAGGGGCTGGAGGCACTGGCACAACGGGCTGGCTCACACCTACTGCTCCTGCAACCCCTGCTGCTCCTGCTGCTGCTGGTGGCACTGGTGCTACTGCGTGGTGCTGCTGATCCCCGTACCCTGAGTAGCCGTAGCCGTTGAAAGTCCACTCAAAGTCGGGGCCCCATTGCCCCCGCATTTGCATAGCTTGCGGGGATTGAAGAAGAAGCGCGACTCGAACATCCATCCTCCACAGCGAGCGTAGTTCTCGCAGACAAGGTAGGTGGCCGTGGGACGCGACGACATGGCATCTTCTGGGGCTGAAACGGGAAAAGAGCAGCCAGCAGCTTGAGACAAAACTACCAGAGGAAGGGCCGTTGGGGTACGCTCCTGCATGCTCCTGCTACGGTCCTTGCCCTGATTTCCAACATAAGAAATCCCTACCACTAAAACGTGGTGACATCATGAAATTTTAAGGAGGTTCCTGGCACTTCTTGCTTGCGAAGCTTACGGATCTCCGACGAAACCTTGCGCGGACAGAGGCCACACAGCTTGGGAGCATTCTTAGCCCCTGTGGTGAATCCACCACACCGGGTACAAAACACAATCGGTATGTCGCCACTGCCTTTGATCCAGCCTAAGTTCAGGACATGTTTTTGTGTGCGTGCCTGTGCTAAAACATTCCTGAGTGCTGCTGGCAGCTGTCTACAGGGTTTCTTTGTGCCTGGCTTCACTGCTGCAAAACATTTCTCACATCTGAATCCTGACCCATGCCGTATGGGAACATGCTGTGTGACAAATCTTCTGGGCTGTCTCTGGACAGCCGGTTTCTCGAGGTCGTCGTAGAGGGCCTCGTTGTCAGGCCAGGCGTCTAATATAAAACCCATTCCAACCAAGAGGTCCTCATACATGTGTTTGCCAGCCTGCCACTCCTCTGCCTGATCCTGTCCCACTGCATGTGCTGATGCTGCTTGCCCTGCATGATGGTCAGCTGCTCTATTGCCTAGGATGAGGTAGGTGCCCTCCTCGTCCACTGCCTGCTCCAACTTCCTATGTGCCTTGACCTTCCTGAGCTGGGGCCAATCAGGAGGTGGGAGGATGTTACCGACCGCACGCCAGTAAGCAGCAAACTTAGAGTGCCCATGAAGGGCCCGACCTGGATTTTGACCCTTCATGAGCCCTGAATAGTCCAGGATAAGCGGGGCAGTTCTGGGATGTTCCGAAAACTGTAGGGTTATCACCAAACTGCCATGCTCTGCATTGCTGGAATTTTGAGAAAGCCAGCCTGGGAGAGGGGAACGAACTGCTCGTAGAAGCTGGCCTGAGGGTGTGATTTGCGCTGCCCCACAGCCTGCCCGAGGGAGATCTTTCCAAGTTGGGTTTAAATCACTTCCATCAATAAAGATAGGTAGATCAGCTGCAAGCAAACCTGGATCACAAGGCCCATGGATATCGAAATGCTGAAATCACCAGTCATCTGCAACTGCTGGAGGGTCGGGACGAGGTGCCCATAGACGGCAGGAGAGAGGATGTCCTGGTCCTGCTGCTACTGCATCTGATACGACGTTCTCTAACACCTCCTGTCTGAGCTCTTCATAGAAACTACACCCAGATGCGATGGTATCTTGTGTCCTCCTGGCCACAGTACGGGCAGGCTCCTGAACGATCATTGCTGCAGATGTTGTCATGCTGTGTATCCACCACAAAATATTGCTCGGCATCGCCTCTATTGCCGTGTTGTTAGTTTCCTTGTCCCGGTCGAAGCTCTCTGAAACAGCTCCCACCAAAGCCCCTGGTTGACTATGACCTGGTTATCTGGAAACTTGGAAACTTGGACCTGGCGTACTCCTGGACCGTCTGGTTCAATACATCCGCCACAAGCGCCTGGGCTACAAGATTTGGAGGGGTATGCAACAAGCTGTATGGGTTGCCCTGCGAGTCCTCGAAGTGGGTGGGAGAAATTATTGACCAGTTGCCTGCTCGTAGCCATTGGAGAGTCATGCTTACAGGGCCCGTCGTTTGCCCAAGCCACGTTTTGGGTTTCGTGGTTCTGAGATGGGTCTTGGCCGACCTGAAAGCTGCATCCAACTTCTTTGGCGACAACGCGTCGGCATGCAAGTTCTGGCTGTGACGCGGCGCTGTCGTGATCCACCATTCCATGGCATAACGTTCAAGCCCAGCTGCCGCCAGATGCAGTGGATACTTCTCAACTGAGCTAACAGTAGCCCACCACAAGTCAGACTGGGCCCGCTTCTGATACCAAGGTGAGGCTTCAGCCTGAAGGGTCCTTAACATTCGGATCTCACCTGGGGTGAATCCTGTTGTGGCCGCGCCGTAGTGAAGTGTGGACCGTATTCCAGTTAAGAAGAATCTTCCTTTCATTTGCTTTATCTTGGTGCCCTTCATGCGGTGAAGCTTCTTCGCTTTGGCCGTGCGCGTGAGAAGTCGTCGTTTGCGCATTGCTCTAGCTTTGCCTTGACTGGAATTCTTGCCGACCTGGAAATCGATGCCCAGATTTCCGCTGACCAAACTTTTGCGCCAGCGAGCTCTTGTAGTACTGCTTTAGCTTTGCCCTCAAAACCAGTACAACTACCTACTACGTTAATATTTGACATAGCGCTGAAGCAAGACCTCATCAAGCTTCCCCTTCATCTAGAATGCATGCGGGACTAGGTTCTCCAGCACTGTTGTCATGGACGGACCCGAACAAGAAGGAGTGAGGTCATCAATGTGCAATGTGGGCTATCACCTCATCCATGGTGGGGAGGAGAAACGCTTTCGCTTCGTACGTCGCTGGGCTACTGCCTGCCGTGATCCCTCTTTCCGAGAACACTTGCGTATATTACGCTCCATTCAGAAGAACCCGTCGAGGCCAGCGATACATATTGATCGAGCTGATTCGGACGTGCATGGGATACTTGCTTCTCTTACCATGTTTCCAGAGAGTGTAGTGATCCATCATGTCGTAAAAGCTTTTTAGATCCCATAGTACAGCTAACTAGTAGCCCACATTAGCTGCTGCTTCATTACGAACTGCTTGTCTCCATACCGTGTCTTCTGGGCTTCTACTCTGGCTGGCACTGAACTCTTCCCCCAGCCCACACTTATTCTCCCAGCCCTTGCAGCGGCGCGCGGGAAGCTTGCCGTGCACTCGTACCGTTGCAGGGAGGACACCTGTGCACCTTCTGTCGCCTCCTTTGTGTTTGAGGGCCAAGAGCAGCTGGGGAGCTCGTACTTGTTGGGGGGCTTCCCCAAGCACATCCATTAGAACATAGGCGAGACCTAACACCTCCAGGCATTCATCACAAGAGAATCCTACATGCCGTGGACGATGCCCGTCTGGCTGACACGTGCGCCCCTTAAAGCCCGCCGCTACTCTGCGAAGTGCTACTGCGGGCACAGGCTTCTGAGACCAAGACATCAACTGGTCCTGTATGAGCTCCGTCAACGACGACGAGGGGCCGTGTTCCGTGCACGTTAACCTGTTCCTGTTGCTGCCCACCAGTTTCCAGAAACTTGAAAACCAATTGTCCTCCTCCCTCGCATGCCCTTCCACACCAGTCCTCCCGCTTCTGCTGCTGCTCCTTCTTGTCCTTCCCCTGGCTGGTTTCCTGCAACTGCACGAAGAAGGTGAGGGAGACGTTGAGGAGGGAGACTGGGTCTGCTGCGCTCGGGAGGTCGGATGCTAGCTGAGAAAGTCGATCATGATGCTTGCGACCTTCCGTCCACGGAGTGCGGAATGGCCCTCCACGCAGGGGGAGCTGTCTAGGCGAAGCCGGCCGTTTTTCGCAAGGTGCTTCCTGCCTGGCCGTGCTCGTGAGTCCGTAGAAGTATTTCGCCCGCAGTTCTGTGAGACGGTCCACCGCCCGCGCAAGCGCTCTTTCTGGCATGGTCTTATCGAGCTGCTTAGTCCTAAGCAACTCGGCGAGAGGGACCTGTTTGAAAGTCGGGAAGCTGACGGGTTTCTTGCCTGCTCGGGGGCACGCTTGCGTTGCTTCGTAAACTTTTTGTCTGTGACGAAAACCCTATGCCTGATCGACCGTGTGCTTATGCGACCAATGCCAAGATGTACTGCGTGGCTCTACTGGGCGCGAGCTGCACTGGCCTGTGAGGTTTCAAGGGGGACATCGAGGTTCGTCTGCGCATTCTTGACCGCATGGGGCAGCAAGTTCGAGACCACAAAGTGACCCACGTACGATTCACGCGGGCCCGATTTGTACGTAGGGATCGAATCATCAGCCTGGACTCTGCCATCAAGTTGGACGAGGTCTACGTCCTCAAGAAACTGGGCCAAAGGGATGTTAAAGCCGCCACCTCTGATGTAGGAGTGCCCGTGCTTGAGTACATCTTGTCCCAAAGCTTTGGTGTATCCCAAGTTCTCTTCGCCCCTTCCGCCCCCAGACTTTAGATATATGGAGTAAATAGCGACGATGCCGAATTTAGAAAAGCGCAGGAAGCATTTGGCGGCTCTCCCTGCGATTACTGATTCCTGGTTGGGGGTGGCCCAGGCACCGAGGTGCGGTTTCACGAAGATGAACGTGCCACTCGATAATCCCCCATACTTGCCGTCCCGAAAACCTTCCATCCTTTCTTCCTCTGAGCTGATGCTCCATCCTGATACCCCTGCCCCCGCAACTTGTGCTCTTGGATGAGGGTCACATCTGCATCAATTTTGCCCAGCAAAGTCTCCCCCATTCCCCGCGAAGACACGTTGCGCGTCGCGATGGGGAAGTCGGAGAGGTTAGAGGAGCGGAGTTGGGCGCGGCGCCGACGTCGAGGTCGGCGGCGGGGCCCAGCCGTCCCCCTGCCTCCTCAGTAGGGGTCGACGACATCGCCTCCTCCTGCTCCTGCTCCTGCTCCTGCAGCATCTGCTGCTGGGGCGGGAGGTTCGGCGCTTGCCGCTGCTGGGGGAGGGGCTCCTGGTGCGTGCCCGCACGAAAATCCTCCCCTTCATCCCCTTCATCTCCCAAGCCTTGTTCCTGGAGCTCCACCTGTTATTCACCCAAGATGCGATCTTTATCGGGATGATCATCGAGGGTTTCGAGAATAGCTGCCAACTTACGATGTGCTTGGCCCTCATCAGGGGCTGCAACATGTTCACGTAGCCTTTGGGCCTGGTGCTGCTGGACCGTGTCGAGCTCAGCCTGTACCTTGTCTGCCTGTTCCGAAACACAAGTCTTCTGGATTTGGAGGGATTCCATAATGGTACAGATCTCCTGAACTTCACCCGGGAGTTTTTTCGAGCCTCTTTTGCTTGTTGCTGATCGCCTGCTCTCCTTTTCGCAAGACGTGCGAAGGGGGTTGCTGTGCCGAGCGTTCCTGACGGACCAAACTCACTGCTGTTTCGATCTGAGAAAACACATCTGGATCGATCTGGGCCTGCCTGAGGGGGGTGAGGGTGTTCTGGATGCTCTGCTCCAAGGATTGGGGTCCGCTTTGGGGGCGAGGTGGGCGAGTGCTGAAGTTCGGAGGGCGAACGTCTCCTGACCCCTTGCCACACTGCTGGAACTGGTTGGAGGGGACCCACATCCAGTTGCCAAGACCTTTGCCTTCTGGACCTGGAGCACCTTGGTAGGCACCTTTGCCCTTAATTGCTTTGACTCCAGTTTTGCCCTCTTTGAGAAGCCAGACTGATGAACATTTCCTCCTCCTCCCACTGCTGCTGTAACATTCTCTTGCCATACACCCAAAAACGGGGGCGCCGACGGATACTGCTGAGTGACACGAGGAAAAGGAGCATGAAAGTGATAACAAGTCTTGTACCACGGGGGGTTCTTCTTGTTGCCACAATTGGGGTACACCAAGCCATGGCTGGACATGGGAGGTGCCCGACCACGGATGAAATGGGGCTGCGGCCCCACGAAACCGAAAACCGAAAGGGCTGAACCCCTCGAGCGAGGTTGGAAGTTCAGGAGCAGGCCCCTGGAGCCAAATGGCTACGGATTCTCCTCCTTCTCCTCCTCCTCCTTGTCCTCCCTCTCCTCCTTCTCCTCCGCCTCCTCCTGCTCCTCCTCCTGCTCCTCCTCCTCCTGCTCCTCCTCCTCCTCCTGCTCCTCCTCCTGCTCCTCCTCCTCCTGCTCCTCCTGCTCCTCCTGCTCCTCCTCCTCTTCCTCCTCCTCCTCCTCCTCCTTGTCCTCCCTCTCCTTTTCCGCCTCCTCCTCCTCCTCCTCCTCCTCCTCCTCCGCGCGGATGCCCCGCGCAGAGCGCATCCACAGGCTCGCGGGCGGCCGTGGGACCGCGGCCCGGCCCCCCTGTCAGGGGCAACGACTGGGGGAGGACAGGCATAGGGTTAAGTCGGACGTGTCCCTCTGCACTCGGCATCGCTCGGACGTGTGCATTTTTCCTTCGGCGAGGACCATCGAGGAGCATTCTGGATAATTTGGCGAAGAAAAAACCACGCACGAAACCCCCAAAAGCACAGGGAATGGACGTCCGAGCGATGGCCAGTGCAAGAATAATTTGCAAACGTCATCAAAACACAGCATGGGAACGTCTGTGTGTATATATATATATATCTCTCTATATATATAATGGAGCTTCTTTCGAACATGTTTTCGCAATTGTGTAGTTTCCTTCCAAAATTCGCCTGTAGGGGGACATGCCCGACCTGAGCATAGGGGGGATATCACCCCCAGTCGCCCATTCATCGCCGATAGGGGCTCAAGAGCGCCAACCTGCCCAGGAACGTTCGGATTCACACTCGGGGGCACATCGAAGATCCGTCAGCGATGTATCGCCGATTCCAGGTCGATGTCCCCCCCCCATTTGCCAATCCCCCCCCTTATCGTTGCCCCTCACCATGCCGTGAGAGGGTGTGGGTGTGAATGTGCGGGTCGCTCTCTGAGGACTGGTTCACACCCCAAGGGGGCTATGCGGACGCACCCTTACAGAGGATGGACGCCCCCCCATCGTATATCCCAGGGCTGGGCCCAGAATTTCGGGTCCATTCGAAAACCCCACAGAGCCTGGGGAAGGGGTCGACCAATCCCCTGTCATGAGGACGTCGCGACCTACTTCCGAGCGCTGGACGCGAACGGAGACCACCGCGTCGTCTTCGCCGAGTTCTCGCAGTTCCTGCAGCGGTCCACCGCGTCGCTCTCCAGGCTCCTGCGACCACTTGCGAAGCTCTACGCGCTGTTCATGTCTAATTATTCGAAAGTTCTTTGATTTTTTTGTTGGGGCCCAGATCCTTTCATTTCTAATTGTTCTATCCTGGGCCTCTTCCTGGCCACTAGGGGGTCCGGAACAATTAGAAACGAGCGCAATTAGAAATGAGCAGGATTAGAAATGAACGACGTGTAGCCCTACCCCTACGGGTCCACTCGACGCTGGGGCATTGGACACCCCGGCGGGGGTCCTCGAGAAACAGAACAGAGAACATGACATAGGCATGCACTTCTGGAGTTCCGCGCGGATTCCTTGGATCGGCGCCGGGGCCCCGCTGCTGGCATCTCTGGCGCCGCCCCCTCCGCGCGGAGTGCCGGAAGTTTAGGTTCCTGCATGCCATGCATGCCCCCTCTAGTAGGTCTTTGGGTCCACTGCAGCTGCATCCCGCATGCCCCCTCCAGTTTAGTTTCATGTCTGGCTCTGTTCAGGTCCGCATGATTGCGGGCATCCCTCGGATTCTGAACTCTGGCAAGCGTTGCAGACCCTTGACCCGCAGGTACAGGGTTCACTTCTATGGGCCTCCCGAAATAGGGTCGAAGCAGACTGGCTCTGAGGATCGCGTCGCACTTCCGATGTAGCTGCCTGCAGTGCGGCTCGATGTGGAGCCCGATTTTCTCGACGCCGACGGCCCCGATGCATTTGCGATGGCGCGATCCTCCGACCCCCCATCTAATCCCGTTCCATCTGGCTGGGAGGCCTGGATTGATTGGGTTCGGCTGGGCCTCTGCTTTGGATTTTGAGGTAACGTAACCCCATGCTGGTGACAATCCCCTTGGGGTAATCAAGCTGATCTTTGTGTTTCTGTTGCTCTATTAGAAAAATAAGCGTTTTGTTGGAAACATCATCGAAACAACGATAGCGGCGAATTCGGCAAGTCTTCGAAGCTGTGCGTTTCGCCTAGGACATCCTCAAGACATGACAATGCGGATTATTCATGGTGCCATTCATGAGATGAACATCGGAGCTACGATCGAAATGTCTGGGGGATGCTAAAGTTCGGCCTCCCCGCCTGCTGTGGCATGTGAACCATATTCAAGCCCGTGGGCAAATAGATACAAGGGGGAAGGGGGGATGCTTTATTTTCTGGGGGATGGGGTTTCCGATGCCGACGCCAGTACTCCCTGGACCACTCCTGACCTGCGTTCCGACCAGGGCTCCGAGGCGCATGACGCCGCGGCCACGAGGGCTCCCCAGAGGAGGCCCGAAGAGGCGAGAACACGCGGGGGAGAGCTGGCGGCGCTGGCACCCGTCCCTCCGCTCCGACCCCTGTTGGGAGGTCACTCCTGTCACCGAGCGGTCGCCTCCGATAGGGGGCAAACAAACCGACCTCGCTTCTGACCACGCTCGCTTCCGAGAGATACCAAGCGGTGCCAAACTACGGCCTGTACTGGTCAGGCCGCCTGACGAGGAGGCGCGTGGTATGACTTGGCTTTGCCTGGAAGCGAAAGCGGGGTAATTAGGTAATTCACGCTCTGATCCGAGGCTCCGGGCCCTGCACGGCGCGTCGGGCGCGCAGGGCGCCGGCCGCGCGGGCGGCGCGCCGGCCACGCCGGGGCCCTCGGGCGGGCTCCTGCGGGCCCTCCTCCCGTGGGCGCCCTGGGGGCGCGCGGCGGCGGGCGAGGCGCCGGGGGCGCCCGACGCGCCCGACTCGGACGCGGAGGAGGGCGCGCCGGAGATGGAGGAGGAGGCGCAGATCCAGACCCAGGCAGGGCCTCAGTGGGCCCTGGAAACGACAGGGCCGTTGTTTTACCGGTTCCGTTCTGCGTTTTTTTGCCGGTTCCGACGCCGTGTTTTTACCGGTTCCGTCGACGTGTTTTGACCGGTTCCGGCTCCGGTTCCAATCCTGGAGCCTTTTTTTGCCGTTTCCGGTCGCCGTTTTTTGCCGTTTCCATTTTCAAAGGGGGATTTTTTTTTGGAAACGGTGAAAAAAACGGCCCCGCCGTTTCCGGGGCCCACAAAGGGCAGGGCCGAGACACGCTAGTGTCGCAACCAAGAAACAGCAGGAAGTCGGGCGGGTCCCTCTACTGGGGGGGGGGGCATGCAGAGAGAGCTTCAAGAAGTATGATTCTGGGGACGATGTTCGATTACAGCTGACCATTTCTGGGACTTTTTTTGAGTACGTTTGAATCGGGCGTGTCCCCCTACAGGGGGATTTTCGATGGAAAATTAAAAATACCCCACAATATTCCAAAATGGGAAAAATGCAAAAAAAATAGTCCCCAGACTATTTTTGGATGATTCTTTGATTATTTTTAGGGTATTTCCAATTTTTCGTCGAAAATCCCCCTGTAGGGGGACAGGCCCGACTTACGAGTACGTGCCAGTTTTCGTCCAAAAAGTCTGCTTGCAGGAGGGCACGCCCGACCCGAAACCTAGCATCGCGGCGGGAGGCGTCGGGCCGCGCCCTGGGCCGCCCGAGAGGCCCCTCGCCGGGCCCCCGGGGGGGCGTCGGGAAGCGGTTCGGGATGCGGGGCCGGGCTCGGGGGCGAGGGGCGGGGGGCGAGGGGCGCATGTGCCGCCACCGCTGCCGCGGGCAGGGCGGGGGAGAGGGGAGGACGAGGAGGTCCTCCTCCTCCTCCTCCTCCTCCTCCTCCTCCTCCTCCTCCATCTGGCAGCGGTGGCGGGACATGGGCCCATCAGGGGGGGGAACCTCCCTCGCCCGCGTGGGGGGGGGGTCGACGCCCGCGCCTTCGGTGGAGGGCGGCGGGGAAAGCCCGCAGCAGCACAACGAGGGGCGGGGGCCGGCGGCAGCAGAAGGGGCGCCCGCCCCGCAAGAGGGTCAGGGCGCTGGGGAAGGGGGTACTTGGCATCGCTCGGACGTCTGCATTTTTTTTTCGGCCAAGGCCATCGAGTGGCACGTTGGGCCACCTGGCGAAAATGCACGCACGGAACCGAAACGTGCACGGGGAACGGGCTTCCGCGCGGTGGCGAGGGGTGTCGCAAGCGGGGCCCCGTTCCCTGAGGTCCGGGCGCTGCAACGTTTCCACGCAGGGCATGTTTTCCCTGCCCCCGCCCCGCGGCCGCCCCCTCCCCCTTTTTTCGCGCTCTTGCCGCCGGACACGTAGCGATGCCATTATCCCGCTTGCCCGAGCGCGCGTGCGGACTGCCTCTGCCGCGCTGCGACCTAGATTGTCCTGGGGCGTGTCCATCCCATCGGCACCAAGGGATCATATAAGGTGTGCCAGCAATAGTGCGACAGCAACACTGCAAGGGACGGTGCACGACGGATATGTATATCGTGCGAAGTGTGCGTGTCCGATTCGCAGAACAGAGGTACAAACGGCCTGGAGGCATTGTACTGCGAAGGAGAAGCAAACATGAAGACATCGGGGTGGAAGAACAACCACTTCGGCAGAAGCAGCGAGATGATGGAGCATGGGCAATACAAGGTTACACAGTCGGAGACGCAATCAGACAATGAAGTGTCGCGTTGTTCCATGCCGAACTGATCAACACCTGCGCGGCCAGTGCTCCGCGA